TGTTACATAAGCAAGTTTCAAGGCTAGCTTGGCTTCAAGTCCTGGTCTCAAAAAAGCCAAAACAAGCTTCCTTTTGTAAAATCAATAGGTCTCTTTTTGTAGTTTCACCTTTTGTAGATGCGGTTACCTACAGTTAATTTCACATTTAATATTTTCAGGACATAGTTATAGGACTACGTAATTCATAACTTATTAAAGATAATTTTATATTTTATTTTGCTGTCTTTTTTGTGGATGTGTCCTTGTGACATATGTGCATTCATGTGTGTGAATATAGGCACACATGTGTCACAATGTGGGATTAGAGGAGGACCTCTGCTGTCAATTACCACTTTCTGCTTTGGGACAGAATCTCTTGTTTTTCTGCTGTGTATGGCCCTCAAGCTCTGGGGGGAAGTCTCCTACCCTCGGCCACTCGTTTCTCTGTAAGAGTGCTATGTTTGCATGTGCTCATAATACTGGGTTTGATTTATATGGATCGAGATTTTGAATCCAGGTCCTCATGCTTGTGTGGGGAGCATTTTACCAGACTCATCTCTCCAGTTGGTCCTCCCCTCCCTGATTTTTGAGGCAGGTTCTTGCCGTATAGTTCGGACTGGCCTAGTTCTTGTCATGTTCTTTGATGTTTTACTCTACTTGCCAAAGTTACTGAAACGATGGCACAGCTTACAATTATTTTTTTAAAAAGAGACAGTTTTATGTAGCCCAGGGTGGTCTTAAACTTGCCACATAGCTGAGGATAACCTTTAACTCTTTCCTCACGAGGGCTGGAATTACAGGCATGGACCACTGAGCCTGGATTTAAGTCTTTGGGAGTACTCAGGATGCTTTGATGACTAAAGTGGGTCTTAATTTGTACCGTCTTCAGCTAAGAATACCTCTTGGGCACACAGCCACAAATGAGCATCTATATCCCAAACCCCTTCCCATATTCCCAACTCCTTCCCAAGGGACCAACATAGAAGAGGGAGCAGAAAGACTGAAGGAACCAGGGGTCAGGAAGGACTGGACCAAACAGTTTCTTCTGGACATAACTAGAAGCCTGTACTAAAAACTCACAGTGCTGTGGCTGCTTGAGCAAGGGCAGGCGGTCAGCATTCTAGCATGAGGAAGAGTCTCACAAGCACCTGACCCAACTAAGGAGTTATATGGACAGTCGATGGCTTCTGAGGATGGGGAGTTTCTTTAAGGGTGTGGCCACTGATAGATCAACCACGCTCCAGTGGACCACCCATGCTCAGGACTATGTGTGCAGTCCAGATTGGTCTTATACAAAAGAAAGAAAAGGGCTGGAGAGATGGCTCAGCAGTTAAGAGCACTGGCTGCTCTTCCAGAGGGATCTGGGTTCAATTCTCAGTGAACCACGCGGTGGTTTCACTACTGCCTGTAATGAGATCTGGTGCTCTTCTCTGGTGTATAGGAAATCATGCAGGCAGAACACTATATGTAAATAAATTTAAGAGGGGAAATGTGAAATTAGAAGACAAAGGTGTTCGGGTAGAGGATAGCGATAGATGTGGGAGGAGTTGGGGAAGGGGTGGGGCAAATATTAAAAATATATTGTAGGGAATATTAAACTGGAAAAAATTACTCTTGGGAATCATTTTTCCTTCTGAAATCCTTAGTGTGATCATATTTATATCTCATGGTGACTATGTTTTGAGTCTGTGCTCACAGGTGACCTCATATTAACCCATGATACACTCACATTACTCCACTACCCGAGAAAAGAAATTGCACATCGACTTGAAAAGACTAGAGACAAAACACATTGTTAAAGGTGTCCTATATACATATTTATATATACATATATAGTACTTTATTTAAAATGTCATTGAGCGTATACAGTTCTTGAGCTTCTTCCAGGGGACATTGCACCTAAGTTTCAAAAACACACAAAATAGATCCCCTTTAAACAGTTCTTCATTTGGGGTTTACAAAAATCAGTGTTTCACAATCACAGAACAGAAAGGTTCATGGTTCTGAAACCATTCCCAGGCAGGTTCCTCTTGAGTCACTGTATGTGGAGTAGTTTTGGAAACCCAGACCATGACGTACATCATTCTTACAATGATCCTTGCTACAGGCCTCCCTGGGTTTCCAAAGAATCAAAGAAAATTAGAGGCAAAACAGGAATGGAGAAACCCATAGACCCCCTAAACACACACAAAATGCTCATCTAATGAGGGGAAGAGTGGAAGACACAGCCTCTCCACCTTCAGCACATCCCAGTTGAAAACAGTACATATACAGCCTTATTTGGTCACCGACTACTTGGTTACTACAAGAACACAATTTCACCTAAGACACAGGAAGGAAAAATTAAAGCTATTTACACAGAACGTGGGGACTTAGAGCAGTACTCCCCAAATGGCATTCACATCTGACAAAAGGGCCACAGGGCTCACAGAAGAGGCAAATAAGCCAGGCTGCTCATGTAGTGTCCTCTGAAAGTTCCAGGGCACACATACACCACATTGCCACATAGCACCCGGCCTGTGGTCCACAGGCCCTCACAACAATTATGAGCTCTGAACAAGTAATTCTGCCCTGTGGCTAAAGGCTGCTCTAGTATTCATTAGATCTGGTAGGCTTTAAGGGTCAGTCTGTTCCTTGCATAGACAGTTTTCATTGCTTTCTCCAGCTGGCCCCGAAGCACCAACTCACTGAAATTTGAATCTCATTGCACAATATACTCACCCTGAAAACAGAGATCCTGGCTAATTTGAGGGGTAACAACTTCAAACTACCACAGGCAAAAGCATACGCCAGTTGTCCCCTCTCAAATACAGCAGATGGGCCGACAATGAAGGAGGCAAGGGAGGGGAGAGCAAAGGGAGAGTTGGTATTTTAAAAACAGACACTTTCCCCCAAAGGGACTCTAAACTAATGGCCTTGGGATGCTGAATTCCCCGCCCAAATGGCCAAGGTCTGGAGTAAGTTTGGCTTGGGAGATTCATACTTGCTCATCAGTATCCATCTATGGGTGTAATTCTCCTTAGATAGGGACATTCAGAGAAGTGTGGTGGGAAGACACAGCTGGCTTTACATAGTCCCATGGAGGTAAGACACTAGGAATGTTAAGAATCCAACACTCCAAATCCTCCAAAATTGAATACTGTGGAAAATAACTGAGACATTGGCTTGTTCCGGTCAGACAGCTGCATGTTTGGCCTAGCCCATTGTCACCACTCCCTTTCTGCCCCACAAGGACAATCATTGGCTATACACAACCCCAGCAGGCCCCTTCCCTGTCTTTGGCTGCCAACATTTGGGGTTAGAAGAACAAAGCTTTTAGTTACTGCCTAGTAAAACGCCTCAGAGTTCACACTCTTTTCAGGAGGCACCATGAGAGGAAGAGCAGAGGCTGGCTGAGCAAAGAGATTCAGGGTTGAAAGAGCCTTTCATTACAGGAAGTAGCCACATAACCCCCAAGATACCCATAAGGACTGACTAGGAAATCAAATGCTTTCCATTACACAAGGCTTCCTCTGAGGTGGTTAGGGCAAGCCGGTCTGGCTGTAAGTCAGTCATACGTGATTTCTAAGCACATAGAAACAGTTTGCAGAATTCTGAGTGCATTGTCTTTTGACCTTTTCAGGAATGCTCCTAGGGCATTACATACATAGACAGTTACTGTTCTGGAACAGGGCAACTTGGAGCCTGGGTGAACCATGAGGTCCAAACAGAGCGAGCCCAATACACAGAGCAGTATCAATGCTGGGTAGGTCTGCCATTGCATTAAAGAATCGCCTTCCCCACGTTTGATTTATTCACCTCATTCGTAGTCATCTTCCCTCCCCACGACACACAAACAGGGCTTTAGCCTGAGACTAACATCTTTCCACCTACAGGATCTCATGAAGAGAACCCCGGGATATACTGCCAACTAAAACCAGCAGGGCCCTAGATTTTAGGATTAATTTGAATTTGGATTTTCCAGGTTTTGTTTGCCTTAGGTGTGCACCTTGGCAGTAAGTGAATTGGAAGAATGTTGTCACAACACCTTTAAGATATTTATACACTCAGAAATTCTGACTCTGGTGGCCGAGTATGACTGGAGGGGGTCAAGGGGAGACCCAGGGAGGAGTCCAGAAAAGCAAAAATATGGAAGGCATTGGGGACATGGGATGATCCCAAAGAAGGTGGCTCAGTTCCTCCACAGAATAAGACTTTCCCATTTCCTGTTTGCATATGACTTTGAGAACTGGGCAGATGTGGGAAAGAGGACCAGGATTCCAGAATGTGCCTCAAACTGTTTTCCACACCATCATATTCTGCCAGGGAAGCAGCAAATGGTTGACACAAACCACTCCCCCCAGAGATATCTGGGGTGGTAAAGACTTCCTGGAGAAGGAGGGTGGGTGCCCAGCCAGATGAAGATGGTTCCCACATGGTAGCTACCCAGTTTTCAGGCAACCAGTTGGCACACACATAGTATGTCATCTGCTGGACTGAGTACTGGCTCTACACAGTGGGGCAACTTTGTGAGAAGGAAGGCACCAGGCCTTTCCTAAGAAAATATCCACAATTCCAGGAATGCAGATGACTTATCAGCCTGGAGGATATGCTGCTCCTCTGTTCTCTGGCAAGGAATTTGCTTAAACACACACAAAGAGCTGGAATTGCCTCTCAAGCATTTTAGGGAAATTATACCACACCCCACACCCCCCGGGTTGGAAGTGTGTCTGAATCACACCAAGTGGATATCCTGGAAGACTATAGGACAGGACTAAGCCATCAGATGTTGATCTGAGGGCCCCTCGGCAAAGCAGCCGTCTGTCTGTTCAAGAGGCAGGCGATTAAGCTGGGCTTTGCTTGCTGTCCCTTCCATCGAGAAAGCAGGAGGCAGATACCACCCCACGTGTGTGCTATCGCTATGCTTGTGGGGCACACAGCAGTGTGGGTAGATGCATAGTGGGAAAGGGGGTCTGGGCTCTTAGCTTTCTAGAACATGATTCATTTGAGGGACAGAGTAGGCAGCGCAACAATGACTAGCCCAAGTTCAAATTTACTTTTATTCAAGTTTCATCCCATCTATCCTTGAACAAAGAGGACAGGAAGAGGGGATGACTGCTTAGAGCTGTGACAGTCTCTCTTCCCGGGGATTGGGGGGGTGTCAGGAAAATAGTCAGGACCCAGGAAGCCTCAATCCCACATTCTTTCCTAATGAAGCATATTAGGACGAACAGGATAACTTCCTGGGCTGCTGTATTGTATGCTGCTCCCTATGTGTCTTCAAGGACACACCAGCTGTGAGAGCACCCACCCAGTCCAGAAAGGAAAAACCGACCTCTTCACAGAAAAATCTCAAGATGAGCAGAGGGACCTTCAGATAACAGAGGGTTTGTGGGGCCAATGAGACACCCACATTTTGAAGCAAACGTTGGTGAGAAACCAGAACTCAGGGTTAACGTTATCCAACAAACTGTCACACAGGGCATTGCTCCAACAACTATACATGTGTATGGGACACAGAACATGGGACAAGCCAGATCGGGCTAGCCTGATGTGGAAACTGTCCAGCAGTGAGTTGGAAAGTCCCAGTGGAGAGAAATGAGAAAGATTCAAGGAATGTCAAAAAGGAAAAAAATCTGCCTCACACCCCATCATTACCAGAAAAGAATCCAGAGACAGAGGGAGACGAGAGAGAAGGGACGAGACAGGACAAGGCAGAATCCCTGAAACAGCTGGAGCTTACAAGATGGGCGCTCATGCTTTGAGCAGGGTCCCCAACTTTTCAGTGTGGCTCTTCACCTCGAGAGAAGCTGGCAGCTTGACAGGCTGAGGAGTCTTCTGCCAGTTACACCTGAAATGGCGGTCTCTGCTAGTCTAGATAAAATAAATAAGTTTATGCCTGTGCCCCAAATAGGCAATAGCCACCTAGAAGCCCTACAATAGAAACCAAGAGAAATGGAACACCCAGTAGCAGGCCGTGCATTTTGGTCTCATTCAGTGTCCAGACCCGGTACTAAAGAGGAAATGGAAACCTAAGGGTCACCTTGAAGTAAAGCCAGAGGCCTTTTGGCAGCAATTTCCCCATCTGGGCTGGGAAGAAATTGCATCACCTGGAATCCAGCCCAGGCACTCCCCAGTTCCATTCTGCTTAGAGGCATCCCAGTTCTTTCTTTCTATCCTCCCAATCCCCTGGGTCACTTTCATGACAGTTTGTTTCCATGTATTAAAGGAATGACGTATACAGAGATGTCATCTCCTGAGCCCAGTCGGTCATTGGATATCCGCCATCCTCTGTCCTTCAGGACGCCTCGGGCTCGCATCACCAGGTCCTGAGCTGCCAGTGTGTACCTGTGCCAGGAAGGGGTAAAGCAGAAGCAAGATAGTCAGGACAGTATGGGTAGACACAAGGCTTAGGGAGGCTGGAAAGGAGGCATCACTACAGTTGTACATTTCCCAACAATCTTTTAAAAAAATAGAGCTATCTTCTCCCAAATGTGTGATCCTTCACCAGTCCAGTTTTCCATGACAAAGTATTGGGTTAAATAAGTACATGAGAAAACTCAAAACACAGGAACTTCTGTCTTCAATATATTTTTAAGCCTAATCTTTCCTTTTGTATCAAAAGGTTTTCCATTTAATGGCTGTGCTGAACCTTTTTGAAAATAAAAATGGGTTCAAAAAATTTGAAGAAAAATGTGCTACTTTGGTATAGGGAAATACAAGAAGGTAAGGGGTGGGTGGTGGGTGCAGATAATTGGTAAAGCAGGTGACTTTCCCTCTGCATTCACCTGTGTGATGTTTATATAAGGGCCTCTCTGGGGGTGGGATCACTCAAGAATTTGAAATGATTGTTCACATTGAGATTTCAACTGTAAACTTTAAAAATTATGGTAAGCTAGCAAAGAGGCTAACACCTAGAGAAGAAAGTGTGACAGGAGGGGTTTATTTGTGGGCATTGGGTTCTGTCAACTGGGAGGCATAAAAGTGAACTAAGACACCGGCAGGTTCCTAACTCAATATCAGTGCAAAGAATCTTAGCTGAGACTTGAAGGGCATCTGGCAGGGAGGGACTTCGTATACGATGGATTATTTTCTAAGCCTATGCCAGGAAACGACCAATGCATTTTTTTCTTCCAGTTTTGAGTTCAAAGAACCTGCCGATTATGGTGTGCCTCCCTGTGTAGTGTAGGCTCATCTACCAGGGAAGAATATACTACTTTGTGCTTTGAAAGCCTCAGTCAGCTGTATTTCTCTGTATAAATGGCAACTGGCATTTTGGTTTAAAGAACATTTTTGTCAAGCTTGGGGAAGGTGAGCCCAGCTCTGACAGTTGAGTCTGTTATTTGTATCATGATTAAATCATGTTTGGAACCTAAACTGCCAAGAGGCAGATTCTGATAAATCACCAGGAAAATAAATGTCACCCTACGCATGGCCTCTTGGAAGGCCGACGACAGGGCTTTTTACAAGGCGTGAATGACCTCTCCCTGCTCGGAGTACCTCAGCATTACCTTTGGGATCTTGGGACAGATGGCACGTGCTCTCTAAACCTAAGAGAGGACAGCACTCTGGTTAGAACAGACTTGATTTCAAGAACAAGGGTTTCAGCAAATGATTGGGCTGGGAACATTCCAAAGTCATGCAGCCTTTAAGAATTAAGTCTATTCTTATAGCCCAGGTGGCCAACAGTGTGTCATATACCACATCCTAATTAATACAAAATAAATGCTGCCTCCAGGTTGGATGGAGAGTTGAGTAGGTAGGAGAGACCCCTTTTTTCCTAACTGCATGGAAAAGAATTATTGGCTTGATATAGAAGTCTGTTATACTTGAGGGAAGATGCAACCAGTTAGCTCCAATTAAGGAGTCTCATCTTGTGACCAAGAAAAAGAGGGGGCGACAGATATGGCCCAGAGAACAGTTAAGAGCACCTGTTGCTCTTGAGGACTGTAGTTCAGCTCCTAGTACCCAACATGGTGGTTGAAGCCATGAATAACAGTTTCAGTGGGTCTGATGCCCTTGTTTGACCTCTATGAGGCCCCAGATAGGCATGTGGTACACAAACATTTATACAGGCAAAACGCCCATACACATACAAATATTTTTTAAAAAGAATGACAGCCAGGAAGGGGAGGCCATAGGCTGAAGAACTACATGACTATCCCAGGACCTACATTATACACACTCAGGGCAGCCTCCAAGGGATATGCCAGAGGTTATTCTTAGTAATGTTGCCCCTAGCAACATGGGGGTGATGTTTATCATTCTTGTGAATGACCGTCTCTGAACCTTAAACTTTGCAGATTCAGGACAACCAAAACTGTCAAAAAAAAAAAAGAGAAGAAGAAGAAGAAGAAGAAAGAAAAGGAGGAGAGGGACGAGAGGATTCCTTCATCAGGGTTGGATACATCTTAAAAGATGAGTTTCGGACACGGTAAGTCATGGGAAAACATGGCTGACAAGGAGACAGACATTTTAAGTAGTCAGAAAAAGCAGCCCTCAGAAGTACAGACAGTTCTTAATGGCTGCCTGGACAAGAGGCAAACAGGCCTGAGCAGGTCCAGCCGTCATGAGAAATGGCTGGGGACCAGGACAAGATTGGTTAGGAGAGCACAGGAAAGAGCAGTAGCCCTGCGCTCTTGTGACTTCAGGTATTTCACTGTTAGTTTGTGGGGGCAGGTTTTGCCCTACAGGCCAAGTTGTCCTTGAACTCCCAGTTTCATCACCTCAACCTTTGAGACACTGAGATCACAGGCATGCACCTTCGTGACTGATGTTCCCAGTATTTTCAAATTGTTAGTTAGCTTGGGCATTTCCTGTTTCTGTACACTCACACTCTCGCACACACAGGAGAATTTCATACGTGTGTACAGTAGAGCTTGGACTTTTTAAATCTGAGTATTAATGCCACCTGGAGACAATGACACCACCCGATGATGGGTTACTTTTAAGATACAGTCACTTACTGCCAGATAAATTGAGATTCACTCTCCATCGTTTCTCCTGAGGTTTTGATGGGGAGCCTAGGCTTTAATGACCACACCATTTCTACAACCCTTCCCTTAGGGTTTTGAGACAGAGCCTCTAAACCCAGGCTGAATTGAACTGCAAAATAACCTTGAACTTCTGTCTCTATTTCCAGAGTCCTGTGTGCCACCACGTCCACTGTTATGGGGTCTTAAGACTAAAGCCAGGGTTTTGTGTATGCTAAAGCCAAGTACTCTACCAACCAAGCTATATTCCCCAGGTTCTGAACTTCCCACTCTTGTTTCCTCCAGTTTCTTTTCATTTAGATCCCCCAGCCTTACAACAGGAGGGCCCTCCCTATACCCTTCCTGATCCATCCTTGGACAGCCCAATCCCAAAGGCAGCATTGTCACCATACTCTTTCCACCCAACATATCCTGCCAACCGTGTTCTTTCCTCTTGAATGTCCCTTTTCTCTTTTACTGGCACCCATCCACGACACAAGCCCAGCATATCTGTTTCCTCAACACACCGTACCTGTTTCTGATGCTCTCAACTTTCTTTGTGGGCCCCAATCATGACTTTAGGAAAAACTTGATAAATGCCCCGCTATTTTCGCTTCCAAGGAGTCACCTCCCCATCAATCATCTCTAGATAATGACATTCTAATATCCCTGAAGAAAGAAATCAGTCCTTCAAGACCACCTTCTCACCTTGGCATATTCGATTATAAAGCTTACGATGCAGAATAGGACTTCTAACTCATTGTCAGTGTATTATTTCTTCAATTGTGCATGGCTAAAAGAAAATCCAACTTTATAGTTATTAAGAGTAACATTATAAGATTGCTATTATCTGACCTTTTACTTTCACTATGACAAACACAGACACACATACATGTATGAAGGCTTGTTTTGGGCTTTCCATTCATGCTTTATGCGTATGCTCTGCCATGCTAACAGCCCTCGGACATTCACAGCCCACATGCAGGTGACAGATTTGGTCATTTGGCAATCCTACTCAATTTTTAATGTACAGTTCGCTATTTCTGCCTTATTAAAAAATGACATTAGAACACCTTCCTTCACCATCCATGTAATGGGTGGACTATTTTAGTTTGCCTTGGTTTTAATCTCTACTAGTCACTATGTGGGCACATAAGGGGACCAACACTCTTATAAACTTCTCAGTCCGTTTTTCACTCTGAATTTTGTTTCCTGCTCTAGGAGGACATTAAGTCTTTAGCAATGCTTCAGGGATAAGCTTATACCATTCTTGGGACAATGAAAAGCTTGATTTAATTTAGAGTAGCAATGTTTCAAGGTACAGTATTAGACTTATTTTCACTTTTTATGTTTGTGTGTACACTCGGGCTCGAACACACTCAATCCCCTGGAGCTGGAGTTACATGTGTTTATAAGTCACCTGATATGGTAACCAAACTCTGCATAAACAAAAATATTCATAAAAGTGCTTGTGTGTATTGCATGCCACAATATGTACATGAAGGTCAGAAAACACTTTTGTAGAGTGTTCTCTCTCCTCCCACCTCGTAGGCTCCAACTAAGTTCATCAGGCTTGGTGACACGTATGTACGCACCCTTACAGGATAAACCATCTCCAGCTCTGAGACTTTTTCTATAGCTTCCTTGCCATCAGTACCTTCCATTGTTCCCAGTACTCATTCCTGTGTGATGCCCTTCACTTTGATTTCTTTAGAAGTGTACTTAATCCATTTAGGGAGCTACTTAATTATAGCAAGTTTCTCTGTCTCAACTTTCCCTGGTTCTTTCCCAAATCTACCTCTTGATTCTATTTTTGCACGCTTAATTCCTTTCAAACCTATCCTATCACATCCATGTTTTCTCTGGGAAGTGGATAGGGGGGGCGGGGGGTGGGGGTGGGGATGGAGGTGGCTCCATCATCTCCCACTTGTTTTTGTACAAATGCTTTTCTGAAAACAGTTGTTGACTATGTACCCAGGGTTATCTAGAGATTTAAAACAATCTTCAGTGTGTGTGTGTGGGTGGAGGTCTTATGGGTTTTTCCAGGGCTTTATAAATTTGTTTGGGAGAGCTTAAGATCCCTATATGTCATGCAGTAGTATGAAGGCTAATTTCACATCTGTCTTGTGTACTAGGTGGCCTACCTATCCATTTCCTCCTTAACCCAGAGCCTTAATTTTGTTGGGTTATCTGCTCTCAGTACCCACGGTATCCACATGCTGTTTGAGAAACAGAGGGAGCTGTTTAGGGAACATCCCAGGCCCCACCCTATTCTGAGGAGCTGAGATTCATTCTGCCAATGCCTGCTCTTGGCTCAGCTTCAATAGTACTGTGAAAATTCCTCCCCATCAGACAGCTCTGTAGGACAGACACTGT